GTCCGTTGTCAAAGGCTATTATTAACTGGCTTGATCAAAAAATAATCAAGGCTTGGACAATGGCAGGAATTCCTTTCGATGTTATTAACAACCCATTTATCCAAGATATGTTCAAAGAATTTCAGCCTGCATATAACCCACCATCAAGAATAACTTTATCAGATCGGTTACTGGATGAAGAATTAACACGAGTAAATAGAGCAATTAACATTGATTTAGATAAAGCAGATTATTTAACTTTAGATTAGTATTACTTGAAGTATATTTATTTAACTAAGCTAAATATAATAATTTACCTTTTTTTTATTTAAAGCTTTGGATGGTTGGACGACACCATCAATGAAATCAATTTATAATTATATTGTTACAACAGACATCTGGAAAGAATATTTAATTGGTCTACGAAATTATTCCATCCAATCTCATACTGGCGAATTTTTAGCAAATGAAATATCAGATATTATTGAAAAACTTGGTTCGGATAAATTTGCAGCTGTAGTAACAGATACAGCATCAAATTGCAATATAGCACGTCAAAAAATACAAGAAACATATCCACATATCTGGAATGTTCGATGCGTAGCACACACGATTAATCTTATTGCAGCCGATTTAGTTGAACTAGATAGTATAAAAAAATTAATTAATAATTGTGGAAAAATCAATCACTTTTTCAGAACTTCACATTCAAGTCATTCATTACTTACCAAAGGATTTGTGGATATGAAGATTAAAGGTGGTGGACTAAAAACATGGGTGAAAACTCGTTGGGGATCTTTATATTTGACTACTGATTCGATGCTTCATGGATGTCCTGTATTTGATTGGGCAAGTATAATTAGTAAAGAACTTTAATATGTATTATTATTAATAAAAATAAATTTTATTATTAGATACTTTCTGAACACAGTGAGTCAATTACTAATCAAGAAGTTAGTAATTTGATATCTGATGAAGACTTTTTCACTACATGTCAGTTGGTGCGTTCAGTATGGCAGACTATTAAGGAAGTTATTTATATGTTAGAAGCTAAGGATGCAACATTAGCCGATTGTTTTATCTATTTAATCAAGTTAGCCGTAGCAATTGATCGCTTACCTGAAATAAACTTTTTCAAGATTCCAGCCATTCATGTTTTTAATCGACGTTATAAGGAATTTTTGCATCCTCTTTATATTTTGGCATATTATATTCATCCACAGTATAGAGGTAAGAATTTTTTCATAATAATTTATATAATCGAGCTATTTAAAACAATTTATTTTATTAATTTTTAGGAAAGGGCTTAAAAGATAATGGATTTCACAAAGCAACTCTTACTTCTCTTGAGCTTTGGCAAAATCTTGGACATACTCGATCAGAAGGTGAAGAGTTAATTGCACAATTATGGCATTTTGAAGCATGATTGCCACCATTTGATCTTCCTTATGTTTCCGGTATGGATACTCCAAAAATTTGGTGGAGTTCCTTTAAGAATCAACCTCGATATTTAGCTGAATTGGCGCATCGAATCTTTTCAATTAATCCTACACAAGCGAATTGTGAAAGAAATTTTTCAACATTAAAGTGGATGGGGGAACGACGAACAAGCTTGGGTCTAAATAAGCTAGAAGGAATGGCTAAAATTAGATCATATTATATGACTAATATTCAACATGAGCTAAGCTTTTTTGGTAAAGAGTTAACAGAGGCTGATCTTCAGGATGCGTGTAATGTGGCATCAATCGGTAATATTATGAATTATGAGGAGGATCAAATAAGAGTTAGTGAGGAGAGTTTATTAGATAACATAATATTGGATTATCCTACAACCTTATTAATTGAGGAGATTATTGACTTGACAGCTGAAGAAAATTTGGAATTTTCCATAGAAATAGTTCAAGTTATTTCTTCTGCTGATTTGGATTATGATCCGCATGATATACTAAATAGTTTTTTAGAACATGAA